TCAACGTTACTTTGAACGGCCTTACCCAAATAAACAAAGTAATTTTGACTGAAAGCTAATAAAAGCAAAAAAAATGCAAAGAGCATTGTCAGACTGACCGCTGAGATGTTGAGATTCGCATCCAATACCTCCGCCTCAAGTTTTTGTAAGGACTGTATCGCTGGTTTGTCGATTGGACCATCTTTGGGCATGGGCTGCAATAATTCATTGCAGAAAATTGCATGCAAAGGCAGGGACACCAGAAAATAGAGTTGAACCCACCTTCTCGGCAACATGCACCGTCCTGTCCACGTGTAAAGTTGCCCAGGTGCTAGCACACCATATAAATAATCCCGCAATTAGACATACCTCAAAGACAGTCAATCATACTCAAAAAATCATCAACTTGACCGTAACTGCTCTTACCTTAGCGTAAAAGACGGTATAATGTGTCTTATTCTTAGCGACAGCAAGGTAGAGAATGGAAGGGATGACTATGCTGACGAGAGAGCCAATCGATGCACCAGTTAATCCAAGGATGAATTCAACTTAAATAAAACGCTCTTTGCTCCTTTCAAAATTAAGAATAGATGAAGGGTAAGGTTGATAGAGCGCCATTTTAGTTAACACTAACTTACCGTTAGGAATTAGCAATGCAATGATCATGTTGAACAGTAAAATCACAAATGTAAGCACATGGAACGTTGAATATTGCATAGCATGTGACACTGGTAGTTCGCAGTTACTCTGAAATCAGTAACTTATTTGCGCACATCTTTACTCGAGTTTCCCTTATTCCAACATTTTACATAAAAAGGGAAAGGATAAATATAAAACATCAACCCTCTCGTAGCACCTCCAAGCTCATTAACCAGCCCCAAGGTTAGATGGATTAGATAAAATTTTGCAAAAATTCCTAGCGAAAACTGGTCCCACACAATAATCTTTGCATTGGAAATTTGATTAATACCCAAGCTATATGCACCCTTCCCGTTCGATCAGCAGAATAAGCAATTTTAAGTTGTTTCTGATCCCTCCGAGATCACCGATAATGCTGGGGTAAGAGGAGATGAATGCAATCTACGACGATCAAAATATTACCAAGGATGTGAGATAAGAATAAACAAGTAACACAAACTAACGTGTTCTTGAACGTCATAGGGTAACAACTCCTTTTTGTAGAGTTCCTTAAAAAAGTTCCTTTTACTTCCAAAGTAGCTTCCAATTTCATGAAAAAAAATTGTGCGCAAGTTTGTGGAAAGATGGCTTAAATAAAAAATTGCGTTCAGATGCTTTTCTGCATTTGCACACTTTCAAAACATTGGACTATAGTTGTGAACCATATAAAATTAATGCTTTTGCGAAAATCCTAAATGCGAAAAGTCCTGTGACCAATTTGGCATTATAACCTTCAGTAAGAAGTGGCTGAATGTGTATGGAACTCTGAGTAAAGAGTTAGAAAATCAAATGTAAATTTTCGCAAAAAAATGCTTTACCCCCAAGCCATTTTAAAAGTCTACAAATGCAGAGAGAGAGAGCTACGAAAAACAAACTTATCAATCCAAATATAATATCATCCACATTGCGATCACTTACCGGTCGCAGTAGTAGGTTGAACAAGGCGCTTCTAGCAGGGAACATCATCAGAGGTATTGAAACCGCAACAGATAATAAAAAGGCCAATTTTAACAGTTGGGTGAAGAATGACGACTCCAATTCAATCAACACGTCGCCGTGTAGATTACGTGAGAAGAAGGCTACGTAACCAAACAGTCCTACACCGGCATATCTGAAACAATAAACAAAGATGGGAGGAGTGACTCTTCAGCCATTCCTCTACTTACAAAGCAGAACAAAAGTTGATGGCTCCAGATACAACGGCATCGACGCGCGATACTAGCGAGTCGTGAATGCAATCGATAACACAAAACAACTGAACTTGGCAAGCCAAACCCATAAACACTATTGGTATGCTGCAAAATTTTACTGTGAGCATGAATAATTGAGCTGGTAAACACAAGAGAATAAAAACCCGCTTACCAAGTTAAAAATCCTTCAGGTCGCCACCATACGACATGTATGCTCCATTTTCCATCCCATAGAGAGGGCAGGGCTTCCAAGATCTGGGAATCAATATTTCAGTTTCTCGATTATCAAAAAACGGATCTAATCAAAAAATCAGAAGAT